ATTGGACCAAGTTCGCGACAAATTGGGTTCGCGACCAGAGTCACAGAACGAATTAAGTTCGTGAACCGAGGTACCACTGTATTAGTTGGAGTGTTTTTGTGAATATTTTAGTATATGTTGCTACATTGTGATTTTGTAACAATGTCAACCCAAGCTATTGATTTCCACAAGGCATTGCAAAATATTTCAAGGTCAAAGTATGAAAAATAAAAATAATTGGTTAAAAAAAAAAAAACACCTCTTGTGTTCTGTAAATTTGGTTCAAAATATTGCTGTTCTGTTGTGTCCAGGGAACAAACCTGACTATTTCAAGCAGTGGCATTTTGAGCACTCCAGTCATAGAAAACAATGTTGAAAAGGGCAGTTCTGGTTTTGAAGCAAATTGTTTCAAGCATTCTAGGCTTGGAACAAAATGTATGTATTCCACAATATTTTTTTTCAAAGTTACAACAAAGCACCTGAACTGTTTTGAAGTGGCTGAATTCCAGTGGAACACAGTCAATTGAATGTTCTCATGGTATATGTTAAATGGGGATGGCTTGTGCTAAGCTCAGCACAAAATTCATTTTCCATTTGATGTACCTCCAATTTACACAACCTGAAAATTCATAGAATCAATAATCAATCACATGCAAATCTGCATAAAGAAAAAAATCAACATAATTGATAATTGGCACAATTTACAGTTCATAGTTCACAAATCTATATAGAGAGGGTCCTTCATGTTAGTAAGAAAACTTCCTATTATTATGAATCATTAATAAACAAACTTGTAATATATTATTGTCTCTTCCTCAGTATTTGAACATAAAACTCATGAAGTAGGTCACATTTTACAACTGGGAAGTTAATAAATGAACCTATTTCTAGCATGTCCAGATTCTTTACTACTTCCAGATCAGTAAAACTGCAAGACTCTCCAAGATTTAAAAAGCTGTATGTATTCCAAGATGAATCTTCCTGGCATATTTATGTTTTTTGATACTAAGCATGATCTGTATTGATGGACTTCCTTCCTTTTGGCATTTAAAAAACCTTTTCTAGATTTTTGCCAACTGAGGAAGAATTATTTTCCTTTAAATTATGGGGTTTGTAATTTCAGCAAATACTGCAGTTTGCTGTTTGATATATCCCAGAAGATAGGCTGAAGACTTCCCCTATCACAGTATTAACCCAAGGATTTTATCTTTCACAGTTTCAAATACCTGAAAGTGTGGTCACCAACAGAATTATATCAAAAAGATACTTTCTGAATAGTTACTTAGAATAACTATGTCAACTTTTCTGAAATTTAACCACCCAATTACATTAGACATTCACTCCTCTGTTATGTATGGAGGATTCTTGGTGAGTATGGGAATCAGTTCACTACGACACATTCCAAGGAGGTTCTTTTTTCATCCTGTATCACTAGAAAAGCACCTTATATATAAATATTTAATATTAATTATATTTATAATAATAATAATAATAATATATTTACATTTAATAATTATTAAATTAAATAAATTAATATTTAATAATAAATCATTATTTATTATTATAATATATAAGTATTAATATTAATGCTTATAACATCTGGATCATTTTTACATTACCAGTTGGATTTATTTATCTAGCCAATCTGCTGAAATGCTGTTTTGTTCAGATCTGATTTGGACATATTCATAATTATTCAGAATGAAGGCACAATACTGAACTTTTAAGATCTCATATAGAAAAACTATCTGTGGTAGACAGGTATGTGGAATCAAGAGAATCAGAGTTTAGTTGTTGGCATAATGGCTGTGCCCTCAGAGTTCTTCTACACTCTACACATCTGGAGTGCATAAAATTCAGGAAGGTGGATTACAGACTTCTAATCTGGTATTTTTCTGGCTATATCAGAATCCAAATTGTTCATCCACCCAGTCCTCTAGATGGTATAGCAGTGCTTTCAGATTCCAGTACCTATTGACCACAATTCCTTCAAGTTATTTTCTGAAGCAGATTGCTCTATGTCTGAAAGGCTGAGTAGTGCCAAGATGAATCTTTGAAATCTTACAAACAACAAACAAACAAACACAGCAAAGAAACACTGAGGACTCATCTACTTGTGAATCACCTTAAAAACTCTGCTATAAAGCAAGCTACAAGCAAATCTCAACACAGGGCATCTGGTCTTCTGTGTTATATCCTTCTGAATACAAGAATTCCATTTAGTGTTCCTAACAGATGGCCATATGACTTCCTTATTTTCGTTATTAGTTTCTGGTATGAAAGAACTGGGGTGGGGGAGAGGGTTTTTATACATATATGCACAGATACTTGCAGTGTTTCCAAATATAAATGAAATTGTGAAAATGGTTAAGTGACATCTTATACGTCAATATATTCTTGACCAATATTCCAAACTGAATCCTTGTTAGGGGACTTACAGTAGGAATAAATAAATGAGACTTTGGCTTTTTAAAGTTAATTTGGATGGTTCTGTTGATGCAGAATTCAGACATGCAGCCCTGTGAAACTTGGAAGGAATATACCCAGATGCATTCTATCTTTAAATGTTACCAAACGGAAAGAATTACCATTCTTTTAATGATTTCTGCAGAAGCCTTACCCCACAAAAGGGTGTGTGTGTGTGTGTGTGTGTGTGTGTGTGACATATGACAAAGGACACGGCCTTGAACTGTCACTTCTGGGCCTGTAACTCAGCAAGCTTCCAGTCCCCACAAGGCAAAAAATTGCTGGGCTAGTTTTATCAGTAATGGAAATGTTTACTCAGATCTAAAATACATTTCTTGGAGAGCTCTTGGAGAATGACATTGCTGAAGTGAACAGTTTGCAAGGTCAGAAGAAGGAGGATGGTTTCTTCTTTCCAAGTGTGCTGGATTTTTCCATGAATGAATTATTCTACACATAATGTACTTGTTCAGCAAAGCAATACAGAGGGACCATAAGATGGTAGCCTAAAAGTGCAATGATGTATTTTTAATTAAATACCATTTCTCTCCTCCTTCCTCCAAATGAACTATCCTTGATTGACAGCAGTGAACAGCCTATTCCAACCTGATGCCCTCTAGATGCTTTGGATTTCAGTTCTCATAATAGAAGTTCAATACATCTAGAGGACATCAGTTTAGGAAGGCTAGCATAAATATTAATCTAGCTTTTCATGTATATAAAAATCCAAGAACTAGTTACTTGTTCAAGAATAATTGAAAATAAAATGTACACATAGATATGAGCATGCATGCACTCATACACACCAAGAACATAAAGAAAAGACTCCAAGAATCTATAGTGATATGCTAGCTTTTATGGGTAGGGGAAAGAGGTCA